GTGTGTGTGTGTGTGCGCGCGCGGTGCGCGCATGTTAGTGTGCTCGGCCATGCAAGGCCCACTGCAAAGCCCACTTCGAGTCCGGCCCCGGCTACAACGGTTCCTCCAGGAGCACAGCTGAACTTACAAGCCCTCCAAGATCACTCAGTTTGCGTGTGAAATTCGCCCTGAAATATTCCAGAATTCCGCAGGATACGCTCTGGATACTGATGAGACTTTTGTCGCGGCAGAGCCCGCTCTGGAGTCCGTCGACGGCACAGCTGCTGCGGAGCCTCCTGCAGCAGCTCCCGCCCCTGCGTCCTGCAACCCAGAGGCTTGACCGTTCCGCTTCACTCGCACATGTAGTTTTTGCCTTCGTAAAGCCCTGGTCAGGAGAACACTGACTTCCCCGACGTGCAACCAAACGATCAGCCTATGACCCGTCGAGACCAGCTAGGGTTGAAGAAGCGCAAGAAAGAGGAAGGGAAAGGAAGGGGTCGTGGACGTGGGAGAGGCAAAACACCCAAAGTGCTGAAGCGACCGGCAGCTGCTAACCCAGGACCTGCTGCTACCGAGGCAGAGGAGGAACAGGAGGAAGAGGAGGAAGAGGAGGGAGAGGAGGGAGAGGAAAATGAAGTGGAGGGAGCTAACAGCTCTAGCAGCATCCCTGAGCCCAAAGCTGAGCCCAAATCCAAGGGAAGGGGCAGGGGCAGGGGCGGCCGTGGCAGGGGTGGTCGTCCTCAGAAAGCGGTGGCGCCGCCGCCAGACGAGGATGGAGACCACGATGCACCTTTGCGGGCTCGGATTCACAGCTGCTTGGAGGATTGCTTGGAAGCGGGGCAGCTCGAACTCCCAGGAAAACACAAGCACGAGGTTGAGCAGTTTCACCATGAGAATGCACAGCTGAGTGTGTATTGGACACGAGGGGGGGTCGGAGTCAAGGTCAGGGATTCGATGAATGAGGCTTGGAAACAGGTTGTGTACTTCGCACGTCAGTCGCCCTGCATGGCAACGAACATCGTTATTGCCAACAAGTGGGTCCTGTTCTCAGTGAGCACTGCGTGCAGATGTTTATTTTACAATGCTAGATGGTGGCACATCGTTGCTTCCCGAAACGAACCTAGGCCGAAGCCTACTGCGCCATGAAGCCTCCTCGCGATGCATATTGTTCGGAACTGGTTCGTTTGAAAGATGAACTCGTTGCGATCCACGCGAAAGCTGTGGATACTTGGAAGTGAGCAAAGAGCAAAGCTCTGAATTTTGACCAGTGCCCTGATCATGCTACCTCCCGCGGAAGCTGGCATGAAGTTTACGTTTACGTAATGTATGCCAAGCTTCGTCCTGCAAAGCTGTCATGTAGCCGGATCAGGCAGGAATCAGAATGATTCAACCAGGGGTCGGCAGCTCGCGCAAGCTGCCTTGGGACGGCGACATTGCCCGGTTGGACCACGTGCCTCGAACGTGCAAAACTCTGATCCCAGCATCGTGCAATTCCTGTGCAATTCTTGTCTATATCAAGTGTGCCAAGCCATGTTACTCCCCCATCTCTATAGCCAGATACACCCCCTAGCCAGGTTGATGGTTCGACGAGCCCATGTGCCACATTGCCGACGAAGTCGCGGTATTGCCAAGAGCAGCGCCCGGCACAGTTTGCAACCTCTGATATGCTCTGTCATGTGTAGTGCTGGTAGGATATGCTCGCGAGCTTGTTTGGGTGGGGTATCCTGTTGAGCCTCCACTACCTTCGTATGTGTGCACCGCTTTGTGGGAATCTGTTCAAGTGCTTATACAGGCTTACACAACACAGTTGCAGGCATTGCGGTTTCTGATCGCATCGGATGGGTACCTATAGAGTTTCGATATCATGTCTTGCAGACGGACAAGACAAAACACTATACAGCTATATACCTCAACGGAGGGCCATGGCACCTTTCGCCGTGAATCTTGACATCTTGGTTGCTCGGTTGCTGGCACTTGAGGCACCCAAAGCTCCCTGGTTCAATCGATCAAGCTTACGTGAAGCTTAAGTCCGGTTTTTTGTAGACTTCCGATATTCAATCTAATGGCTTAGTGGGGTGGGCCGGTAGCATTCTTGCAGTGTAAATGTTTCAATGAACACTTAAGATGGTGTAGCTTGACGACGACACCCTTGACACCTTTCCATCCCAGCAAGAAAGACCCTATAGATATACACAACTTACACCAACGCCCTGAACAAACCTATAAAACCGAAACCCGAAACAGCCAATCGTCTATACAGGGTTCCACGAAGATGCTATCATTCCTCGCTCCTTTGGGGCTCGTGGGTGTGGGTTTGAGGTAAAGGTTGAGGCTTATAGATTTCGGGTTTCGGGTGTCAGGCTTGCAGTTGTAGAACCAGACATCATAGTGCGGAGTTTAGATGTAAAGCGGCTTTCTAGATCTTGTATAGAGGTGGCCAGGTGAGGGGTCAAGGCGAATTGTATGTTGCTGTATTTCTGCAGATCCTGTTATAACATTTAGGAACGCCTAAGGGTCTGAGGGGCAAGAACCAAAACCCGCTCACCATATAAACTCCTATATATATATANNATATATATATATATAGCCTCCGAAAGTTCCTGAACCTACGAAGCCGCTATGCCACAAAGGCCCGTCGGCCCATCTGCCAATCTCGCCCAGGCATTCGTGTCCTTGGTCGTGTTGGTCTTCTTCTCCAGAAACCTCGGCTGCTTGGACCAGGAGTACAGACTGCTCTGGGCAGAGATTAGGCGAAACCTGTGTAGATCCGACTGTTGGAGGAGCTTTCATATATAGAATTCTTCGCTGGCAAAGGGAATGTCTTCAATGCCGTTAAGGAGGTTTATCCTGCTGCCGCTGTCGACTTGGAGTACTTGCGTGACCCTCGCTTCAAGCGCAACAATCCCATGGACCTTAATTCTGATTCAGGTTTAGCGCAACTCGGCTCAGTTTGTTTTCGGGTATGTGTACGAATGCCTTCGACCCGTGCCCATGTGCATGTCAGGCTGGCGATTTGGCTTGTTTTACAGGGCCGTCTTGACTCCTTCTATGTGCTCTTGGCCACCGTGTGCTCTAGCTGGGTGCCGACCAATGCTGGGACAAGCAAGAGAAGCGTTATCTATGCTGAAGGTAACACCAAGCTGCCTTACATAGCCGATGCAAACTGCCTCACCTCCCGGCGACTTGCATGAACCATGGTGAGTCTTTAACGGATCGATTGACAACGAAAGCAATGTTACCCCCCCCCC